TGGCCATTTGTAACCCTCTGGTCTACTCCACGGTCATGTCCCGGAGGCTTTTCATTGGGATGTTGGCTGGTGCCTACTCAGCTGGGGTGATCAGCTCCACCATACACACGGTTTCCATATTTCGTCTCCCGTTCTGTCGGTCCAAGACGATCAAGCACTTCTTCTGTGATGGACCACCACTGCTGGCCCTCTCCTGCTCTGACACCCATGCCATCGAGTTGATGGTATCTGCCGTGGTGGGGTTCAATGTACTGAGCCCCACATTCTTCATCCTGGTCTCCTACTTATCGATCCTCTCCACTGTCATGCGGATGCGCTCTGTGGCCGGTCGGCACAAAGCCTTCTCCACTTGTGCCTCTCACTTTGTCTCCATTGCTTTGTACTATGGCAGCTCCCTCTTCATGTACGTGCGCCCTGGCTCCAGACAGGCCTCAGAGCATGATGAGGTGGTATCTATGCTGTACTCTGTGGCTGTCCCCATGCTGAACCCACTCATCTACAGCCTAAGAAATGCAGATATGAAGAATGCCATGAGGAAAGCAAAAAGTAGAGTCCTCTCCTCTTTGTCCATCCATGGTTCCTAGTCAGCTGAAACAAGAGGGCTATGCTGCCATGGTGAGGAGGGTTAGATATTGCACCTTCCAGAAGGATGGCTGGACATAGCACCTTCAAGAAGGATGGTTGGGTATTACACCTTCAAGGATGGTTGGACATAGCACCTTCAAGAAGCAGGGATTAAATACACCTGGAAGCAGGACACTGGAAAACATGCTTCTCCTTAAACCAAGGTTACATGCTGTGCTGGGATGGACAGGACTTTGCCCACACGCAGTCTGAGACCTGACAGTGACTGTACTGGGCAGAAAGTTGTTGTCCAAAATGATTGTTTTTTAAATATGACTTGAAATAAATACTTTTTATTACTTAAATCTCATTAAAAATAATAATAAACTTTATTTCAGGCTTCAGAAAGCAAAAGGAAGAATGCAGGTGGTGGCATCAAATCAGCTGCTGTCTGATCTCTCATGTTTTATATTAACATATTTTAAATGACCTCTGGTATTAAGAGGACATTAACTGGTATTTCCAGGATTTTCAGCTCCAGACCACAAAGTTCGGTCATGTGAAATGTCAGAGGGGAGACTGAGATGAGCTCTGAGGCAGAAGCTCTTCCCTGGGAGGGTGCTGAGGCGCTGGCACAGGGTGCCCAGAGAAGCTGTGGCTGCCCCATCCCTGGCAGTGTTCAAGGCCAGGCTGGACACAGGGGCTTGGAGCAACCTGCTCTAGTGGAAGGTGTCCCTGCCCATGGCAGGGGTTGGAACTGGAGGAGCTTTAAGGTCCCTTCAACACAAGCCAAGCTGGGATTCTATGAAATAAAGCTGTGACAGTCTGAGGGTCATCAAAGCCCTTGTGGTAAATGGGGACAAGTCATATCTGAGTCTCTGCTCTGCTGGGAATTTAAGTAGGGGTGTAAGGACCCTGACTGCTGGTGGGAGGGAGGATTTGGGCTCTTCCTCTCCCCTGAACAGCCAAGGTGCTGGTGGTCTGGGTCGCCTGATGAAGGTGATGGAGTAAGTGCAGTACCAAACTGTCTGCCTCTGGGACTTCAAGCTGTGTTATTCACCCTGCAGATGCACACCCAGGTATTCTTAATGGCTTATTTTGCCTGCATGTAGTTCTTTTAAATAATCTAGAATTAGATATTTTTATTTTCTCCTAAATTTGAATGAGGATTATTCCCCCTGCCCCAGTTATGTTGCTTTTCCCACTTCAAAAGCCTTGGTTTTAGCCCAGGACCCAATGGGGAAGACAGACATTCAAAACCATGGGGAAATCCTTTTCTACCCTCCTCCAGTTTATCTAAAGGACTAACAGTCTGGTGCCTTCCAACAGAAAACCAGGTTTGCATCTAAAACATCTAAAGCCACCTATATACTTCTTGCTTCCCCACACTTTCATAGCTTGGTTTTCTCTTTCATTTCCCCATCCTTTGTGTTTTCTAAATGGCTGCATCAATGTTATCATTTAATGTTTGTCCTAAGGGTTTTCTAATGTCTCTTCATCTAGGAGAACCTTTCAGGAGATGCTAGCACTCAGGATTCATCAGAACAACACTGGTAAATCTGAGTTCATCCTGTTATACCCTCAAAGAGCTGTGTAGAACGATGCTCTTGAGTGAACTGTTGTGGAATCACTAGTAAAGTATATGGAGAGAAATCTATCTACTAGAAAGGACTCCATGTGGCCACCTCAAACCACTCACACAGAATGGTTGTGTTTCAGCTCCGTCGTGTTTTCTTTCAGCTCCCTTCAATGCAATGTTAGATGATCCCTGTGGTAGTAAAGGGCTTCCTCAGGGAAAGACTGAAAGAAAGAGGTATGTGATAAATGGATAAATACAAAGCAAACTGCCCTGGATCTGTCTCCCTGAGTAGGTCTCTGCAGCAGAACAGGTCTTGGAGGTTTGGGGCAGCCAGATAGAGTTTGGGGAGGAGGAATTGAAAGGTTATTTTGCTGATCAAGTCAAAACAGTTCTCAGATGGAGGAGAGTCCTTTGGGAGCACAGTTTGCACAACACAAACTTCTGACGTAAATGCCTGATCTAGGATAAAATCCCTCCACCAGCCAGCCTGGAGCATCCTGCTGCCGAGCATCTCTCCTTCGGCCCCTCGGATGGGCTCCAAAGGGAGCTGCAGGCGCCGCAGCCACCAGCACCTTCTCTTTGAATCGAGCAGGTACGAAAGGGTTTGATGGGTCCAGTTTGACCCTGGTTGTGCTGCCTTTTACATGCTTGATGGTGTGTTTAATTTCAGTCTTCATCAGGGACTGTAGGGATAGGACAAGGGGTGATGGGTTTAAACTGAAACAGGGGAAGTTCAGGTTGGAGATAAGGCAGAAGCTCTTCCCTGTGAGGGTGCTGAGGCGCTGGCACAGGGTGCCCAGAGAAGCTGTGGCTGCCCCATCCCTGGCAGTGTTGTGACTCAACTGATTTATGTCTTTATCTGTTTGTAAACTTCATATTGCAAACCCCCACATTCGTATTGATTGATGCCTGAAAAAACTGCACCAGGCCCTTTTTGTGGGAGCTGGGCTGGCTGCACCAAGCTTAATTTCACGTTATAGTAGTAATGTTTTACTTTCTGCATTCAAATGATCAATTAACAAACCTAAACCTAATCAATACTTGTGGGGTTTTTATATGGTTGAACAGGAGCCAGGTTGCTGAGTCAATATTGAGATGAGAAGAAAATTCAGATTAAAAGCTTCTGCTCTGTCAAGTCCTGCAGCACGGGCTCCATCTCTACTTGGCAGGATTATAGATGTTTTACTATTTAAAATTAATTATTTAATATTTAATGATTTAAATATTTAGCAAGTTCTTAAGCTGGAAGCTGTTTTAAGCTATGAATGATCGTCCTTTCCAGGGCTCCAAGTTCATGTCTGAGCTCGTCTCCACAGGTCACCTCTATAGGATGGAGATGTGCACCTCTAGGACCCCATCAGTTTAATCCCAGTGATGAAGCTGTTGTCAGTAGAGACGAACATGTGCTCAAGGTATGAGATGTCCAGATGAAGCTACAACTACATCTCCATTCCCAGGTGATGCTGAACAAGAAGATCTGAGGTTGGTAAAGTAAAAGGAGTAGCACTGGGACTTAATGACCCTCCTGTGCTCTCTTCAGCTTTCTGTGGTTTTTTGCTTCATATTATTTTCGGGGATGGATGCTGGTTTGTGGCCTGGATACACAGGTTCAGCTGCATTTATAGAAACCCCATCCATGTTCTCCAAGAGCATCCAGAGAGACCTTAGAGCATCTTCCAGTGCCTAAAGGGGCTCCAGAAAACCTGGAGAGGGGCTTTGGACAAGGGATGGAGGGACAGGACAAGGGCAATGGCTTGAACCTGCCAGAGGGGAGATTGAGATGAGCTCTTGGGCAGAAGCTCTTCCCTGTGAGGGTGCTGAGGCGCTGGCACAGGGTGCCCAGAGAAGCTGTGGCTGCCCCATCCCTGGCAGTGTTCAAGGCCACGTTGGACACAGGGGCTTGGAGCAACCTGCTCTAGTGGAAGGTGTCCCTGCCCGGGGCAGGGGTTGGAGCTGGAGGAGCTTCAAGCTCCCTACATCACAAACCAGTCTGTGACAACCCATGGCGTGAACAGAAGTGCTCTTGCAGGGGGTAGGAGGTTTGCTTCAAAAATCCCCACATACCTGACCCCATCTACAACTGACCTAGAGATACTTCAGCAGTGATGTAGCCATCTGTAGACCGATCTTCCACCAGATAACACATCTGCAGAGGGACTGAATGGGGGAGATAAGAATATCCAAGCTAAAGCCTTAAAATTTTGGTTTATATATGGTGTAATTTGTATTTTAACACCCTTTGGTGGATATTTGGGTTGGTCGGAGGAAACTCACTGCAAACACAGCAAAGTTCTGCTGGAGTCAAGACCATGGCTCCCCCCTAACCTCATGCAGGGGGGTTTTCTTCAAAATGCAGATAAACTTAGAATTTAAACCAAAACCCATTTCAAGTGACTGGCTCTGTTGTGATGAAAAGGCTGCACCAGAACTAATGAAGCTACAGAAGAGCACTGACTCAGTCTGGAAATTACAAAGAGAGAGGGGAAATCCTTAAAACTCCCAGAAATCAGTGGTGAGAATACAAAATCTTCTCTGTTTTCCACATTTTGGAATGCATTTGTTTGATTTCATTGTCTTACACTGGATAGACATCATATTTCTCAGTGTATCATTAGTGCAGTGTATATGAATCATGGTAGAACTATTCTCTTTTCATTTCAGGCTGTGAAATGAGCTCCTTCACCTCCTTGTCTTCAGAGCTTGGGCTAAAGACAGAAATACACCATTAAAAATACACCATTTTCTATTGCATTTACTTTATGGATTAAGCTCTGATTAAACTTCCACATTATTTCTCTCTCAGGGATGTATTTCACTGCTTCCTTTGATTTCAATCCAAATCCATCAACTCATAGAAATGACGGATGGAGGAAACCTCACTGTTGTGTCCAGCTTCATCCTCTTGGGCTTCTCTGATGCCCCAGAGCTACAAACCACCATCTTCACAATCTTCTTATCTCTGTATGTTTTAATGGTGCTGGGGAACCTGATGGTGATCCTGCTGATCAACAGCGACCCCCAGCTCCAGATCCCCATGTACTTCTTCCTGACTCACTTATCTTTCATGGATTTTTGCCTTTCCTCTGCTATCATCCCAAAAGCTCTGGAGACCTTCCTGCTGGGGAGAAGCCACATCTCCTTTTGGGGTTGCTTTGCCCAGATGTATATTTTCCTGGCTCTGGTTGTCTGTGAGTGCTTCCTCCTGGGGGTGATGGCTTACGACCGGTACACAGCTGTGTGCAAGCCCCTGTTCTACACCACCACCATGTCCAGGGCACGTTGTTATGGCATGATGGTGCTGGTGTACACCATCGGGTTCCTCACGTCCCTGGTGCACGTCGTGCTGGCGGGGAGGTTGTCCTTCTGCCAGGCCAGGAGCATCAACCACTTCTTCTGTGATCTGCCCACCCTCCTGCAGCTCTCCTGCTCAGACACAAGCACAAATGAGGTCTTGCAGGTTTGCTGTGCTGGGTTCAACATCATGGGCTCTGTGCTGATGATCCTGGTGTCCTACACCTACATCCTCCACACCGTCCTGCAGATCCCTTTGGCCAGGAGGAGGCTGAAGGTCTTCTCTACCTGCACCTCCCACTTGGCTGCCATCACCATCTTCTATGTGCCTGGGTTCCTCACTTATATCCAACCTCATGAGGCATCCTCATGGGATCAGGCGAAGCTGGTGTCGGTGTGTTACACCATCCTGACCCCCACCCTCAACCCCCTCATCTACAGCGTGAGGAACAAAGAGGTGAAGGGGGCTCTCAGGAGGCTGTGGGAGAGAAAGCTGGTTCCGTATCTATCCAGGTTTTAAAAGCACATTTGGAGCTTTTCAGTACTTTGGAGGTAAGGAAGGAAAATGTGGACTATGTGGTCATGGAATTGATCATTAATGGCCGGTTTTGGTCATTATTGGTCACTACTGGTCATTAATACAGCTAAAGAGATCACACAGCAAGTGCAGGATATGGAGAAGCAACACAATGAATGGTTGTCTTCAAACAGCTTCAGGTGGTTTTAATCGTGGCTTGAGCCTTCAATAATTCATCCAAATACTTGTCAGCTCTTTCCTAGCAAGACTGAATCAGCATGGTTTGTGGTGGTTTGTGTCTGAATTGTGTTAAATGAAAGTAGTGCCCACAAAAGGGGGCTCAGCCTGGAGGTAACGCAGTGACCACTGTCTCCATTGCCTGCTTGGGAAGCATTTTCTCAATGAAGAACTGAAGGAGGGACAAGAGGGTTTGATGCAGCTCTGGTGTCTCCAACATAAGGACACGGAGCTGCTGGAGCAAGTCCAGAGGAGGCCATGAGGATGCTCAGGGGCTGGGGAAGACCCTGGATTGGTGCAGGGTGCGAA